TCCTTCCAAATATCCATCATTGGCTGGTATTTGTGGCCAGCCATTTGTCAATACACGGAGAGATGCTACAGTAGGCACAAAATCACTTGTCCATTCTCCAGTCATTTCCTCAATCGCATCTGCCAGCTTCAACAAGCTCTGCTTCCTCTCGTCTGAGATAGGATTTCTGATAGTAGTGTCAGGCACAATGGGCAAAGCTCCAAAGTCAGCATCCTTGATGAGAAGGACTGGTGGATCCGAGGTAGAAGAGCTCATGAAAGGTTTTGTCACACAGAACACATCTAAGTCACTCCCTTCTCGCACAACCCTACGGTTGGACAAACTGTTGCGCTCAGATTCCGACAGGTCCATCCTGAGCTTAAAGGTGAATGAATGCGGGCCGGGGATGTTCTGCCTGGTTTGGAAGCAGTTGTATGGTGTAGAGCCAAGCTTGTCAAGCCAGGGTTGAAAGTTTCGCACATGACTGATCATAGATGACCTCACCTGATACCCTTTGCACTCCATCAATCCACTCATGCCAGCTGGAATCGCATTCACCAGGTCTTGCGGATGAAAGAACTGCATCTTCCGAATCACGCGTCCAAGAACCAGTGAAAAAAATGAAATCTATATCTTCATGGGTATGGCCTTTTCTCAAGCATGTAAGCTGAAATGTGGAGAAGGCAAAGCGACGGGTCAGGACCCCTAGGAATAGGCAGAAGTACTGATTTTTGCATTGTGCAACAGTGTTGTCTGACTGGATCACCAGGTGACGACACATTGGGAGGCCACGTTCCCTTCTCATAGACTGTACTTTCGCCAGAGTTTGGATGATGCATTCAATGGCATAGCTTGCCCCATGGTGCCCCCCCGTCATCGTTGGATACGTAAAAATCAGCAAGGTATCCATGGGCTAAAGCTAAATGTAGTTCGCACTTGGGTCGTACAAACTTGTCAGCATTTTTTTGGTGTTCTCATTCCCCATTTTGGCCAATAAAATTTACTTTTGTCCATCCCATCATAAATCACACAGAGGATGGGGGATGAGTCCAGCTTGCTGCTGAATCGAAGATGGTAGTAGACCATTCGGTCCAAGTACTGAGCTCTCAAATGTTCCGCCCATTGCAGAGCTCTCTGCTTTTTCTCCATGGGAGTGGCCTTTGTGCCATGGATATAATGGCTGCATTTAAAACAGAAATCGCACTGTGAATGCTGCGTTTTCCCCCGAAGTCCAATGCTTTCACGCCAGCGCCCACAACATCTTCTCCAAAAGGTGGACCAGCTGGCAGGCTTCGTATCCGGAGATCGGGTGCTCAACCATGAAATGTACATCCAGAAAAGATCGATGACTTTTGAATGTTGGATGTAGCGTTTGGGCAGTTTCCCATCTGCGGCCACAGTCTGCATGTTTGCAATGATACCTTTGTCTGGGTCAGCACCAATCAGTGGAAGGAAATCTGTATCATCTTTTCCAAGTTTCTCCAACGATTTGGTTTCCTCTTCTGTGAGCTTCTCATGTGCAGCTAGCTCTTCATCCACACAGGACACATGATATTCAGTAAGCTCTGGAAGGAACTCGGCTGTGGTATGGTACAAATCCAGCATGAAAGCATCTACTGTCCGGGAAACATCTGCACAGGCCCCAGTGTTGAACTTTCTCTTGTCAACTTCTCCATTAACACGCTTGTCGAAAGTCCGTGGGGTGATGTGAAGCAAATTGCACAAACGAGCCAGACAAACCCTTTTGTCACAGAATTGCCACACAACTCGGCTTGATGATCGGCTCTGATTGCTCTCATCATACACTGTGCTGAACAACACAGTTTTCATTTCTGTTGTCATAGCATTCCAAACACACATGAATGTGTTGTATTCCTTGAGCCATTCTACATCGAGCTTGTCACATGCAGTGCAGCCATCAGCTCCTCTCCCAAAGCTGCATGGGGCCAAAATGTCTTTTCCAAACTCAGCATTTTTTCTTTTTCAGAGCTTCAGCCAAATCCAGCGCTTGTTCTCCGCATGCAAGAAGGGCTGTCCCGACTGAAAGCACAATGTGTGGAGTTTGACCTGGAGGTGTTTCTGCTGCTGAAGCGAAGTCCTCACTTGGAGATGGAGCTGTCCATCTTGGCAACTTTTGAAGCAAAGCTGCCTTGGGTGCATCATCTGTTGTTTTTCTCTTCACTGGCCCTGATGCCACATCTGGATGAAGCCATGATGAACTTGTTGCTATTGGTGGGTTGAGCCATGATGCAGAAGCCTCTTTATTGCTATCAACAGGAGGTTTGCACCAGTTTGGGCGAGACATTAGCTGCAAGAACATAAATGAAAGCAACAATCTGCACAACAACCCCCCACAACAATCTTCATGAAAGCAACATGGAGCAATCATAGGAACCCTCAAATGGCTAATAAGCCTTTGATTGAAACAACCTTATGTCATAACCTCCCAATACATGATGTAAATCTTTTCATTTTCTCTCCAACGCTGAGGCGATGTGGCAGTCTTTCCCCAGACTGCTACAGCATGTTGCCCCAAGCCTATCCTACTTGGAGAGCTTCTTCTTCACATCCTCGCGCCAAACATCGCTGGCCTTCTTCAGCTCAGCACGCACTTCAGCCTGGCTTGGTCTGCTGGCCGGCTTCTTGCAGTCGATGTTGGTGAACTTCTTCTTCAGGTGCTTCCTGACATGGGCCCAATAGTCAAATTGGTTTACCGTCTTGCCAACAAGGATGTGCTTCCCAGGATACTTGCGCATCAACTCCTCTCTGGTCTCATTGAAAAGCTCCTTCTTCAGGTTGAAGATTGCAAGCTGGTCTTCCCCGGTTGGCGGCCTGTTGCCAGCAAAGCACCCAACCTCTCCTTTCTTTCCTCGCTGCTTCTTTGCAGGCTGTTCAATGATAGCATCATCATCATTTGGCAAGCCTTTCTGGTCAGCCTGGTCTTCATTCTTCTTCTGCTCCTTCAGCTGTGTTGGCTCTGGGTGACTGACCTCAGCTACAGGCCGCATCTGGACCTGATTGTTCTTTATCAGGCCAGGTGCAAGCTGCAAGCCCGATTTCTTCAGCACAGTGTTGGCCTTCGTCATTGCCAACGATGCTGCAGAACGTGAGGCCATAGCTTCAGCGCCATCTTGAGATGAAGCACTGCCCCTCAGCTGATGCATTGCAATCGCTGCCTGCTGGTTGATGTACCTTTGGTTGCTTGCAGATACCTTGCCAACAGGTGCAGTGGGCAAGTTCAAGGTAGGTCGACTCCAATCCTTCCAGGCTGCAGCGGACACACTCCCTTGGCTCACAACAGCAGCAGGAGACGGAGGAACTGAAGCCTTGTTTGCGATGACCTCTTTTGCCTCATCTTGAAACCAGCTATCATCTTCCAGGCTGCCATCCTCACTAGCCAAGAACATAGACGCCATGGAAGCAAGTGAAGGAAGCTCTACACAATAACAATTTCAAAAAAGGCTGCAAGGGACTGACAGTATCAAGCTCTATACAATCTAGAAAAACACTGCAAGGGACTGATTGTATCATGGTAAGAAAAGGCATGCTACTCGTACTGGCTTGCAAAAAGACACTACTGATAGTGTGACTTTGAATCATCTATTCCATGGTTTGCACTGAAGGGCATTAATTTTTTTGTCAGCTCTGTGCAGCAAATCACAAAGGTCACTCACTTCAGTTGCCGGCCAGCTCTGCGATCTTCCCAGCTTCAATGATGAGGTTGCTGGTGGGCACTATACCTGGCTTCTCCGGTGTCATCGACCAGCCCTGTTCTGATACTGCCATGACCCACCTTTGCATCATCTGGATCAAAGAGCCTTCTGGAAATTTCTTGATGAACGATCCTGCATCTTCAAAGCCAGGTGGCTTTGAAGACCCCATTTTCCGTGGTGTTGCAAGTGGTGTAAACACACACAGGGATGGCTCTACTGTGTAGGTGCGAGCCACCAAATCACCTGCTGAATCCACCTGGTTGCCTGGCTCCACAGAGTGGCACGCAATGTCCAGCTGGGTGATGTCCTTGTTCTCCTGCTCCAGTGACTGGAGGAATGCTCGAAGAGAAATCAAGGTCTTTCCACTGGACTCATCATCGGACTTCCGGATGAACGCTTTCACACCATCATCTTCGAAGCCGACCTTGAAAGAAGCATTCTTGGAGTCTTCCATTGCTTTTTTGGGCTTCCTCAGCAATCTTGAAGGCACCATACACAAGGCACAAGGGAGGGCCCTGGGATGACAGTACTGCGTCCTTCTCTTGTCCAGCCTGGAACCAGACCATGCCATTTGCTCCAATGATCAAGTTGCCACCTGCACTCTGAGGAATCACACAGCACTTTTGCTTCTTCTTCAAGGACTCCAAGTCCTCAGAGATGGAACTGAGTTTGCGCTTGGCTTGGTGTGCACCACCATCATTCTTGTCATCAACGGCCATCATAGTTTCACCTTCATATGCTTTTCCACTCTGATTGAAGGCTTGGTTGTGCTGCTCGACCACCATGTCCCATTCCTTTCTCACATCCTCATTGCTAAATTTCTCAGCCATTTCCGTAAGGACATCCGCCCGAAGAGCCAAGGTCCCATTTGCGGATGGAAAGGTCAGCTGGAAATCACGCTCTGAGATTGAAGGCGTGGCCCTTGACTCTTCATATGCAGTGATGGACTCCCAGCCTGGTACCACAATCACACCTTCCTGCGCCAAGTTTTGGATGCGACGCTTGATAGCATTGATCATCCACTTTGCAATCTTGATGTTCTCCTGCCGATGGTCATTGGCCGCATTGCCCCTTTGTCTGGAGTCGTCCCTGGTATTCATGCTAGCAAAGACAGTGCCCACATACATGTAGTGTGGTGCCTCTGCAGATTTCCTCATGACTGCCTCTGCACATGAGTGGTCATAGCCAAAGACATCCACCACAGCCTTGGGACACAAATCTGACAAGTAACTGTTCTACCTTTTGGTTTGTCTCCCTTATGTATGCTTACTATTATTGCAATAAATATTATAGCCGAAATGTGTTATTGAAGCAACTACTAGCAAGCAAACCAAAATCAAATTTCAACTTTTGATCCAAAAAACGCAAAGTGAGGTCCGATCTGGAGGAGGGGTCATGCCAGCAAACAAACCATCAAGGAATGCTGCAGGGATGTGGAAGCCTGCAAGCCACTGTTTTCTTCTGGATGGTTTGCTGAGATCTTCGAGTCCCTTTGCTGTGGAGAAATCACGCTTCGGATCAACGTAGGACTTCACAGGCAGCATTGGAATCATCCTATCTCCCTTGCATGGCACCATCTGACGCTTCCAGATGAAAGTGCGGGCAAATAGCGACAATGGTTCATGGGTAGCCAAACCAGTATCGCATTGGTCACTGATGGCCAAATACCACTTGTGGCAAGCTGGTCGCTTGGACTGAGCAGGGATTGTGGACTGGTCGAAGCACTGTGTGATCTCCTTCACAATCAACCTTTGATCTGGATCTTTCAGGATCTGAAGTATCTTGCCAGCAGTCTCCAACGCATCGCCCTCTGAATACTCATTGCCAAAGCTTCCAACTGTTGGGGCAGAGATCAACATGCATGTCCTTGCAGGCTCAGCCGCAACATGACCTGACAAGGCCTTGATGGCAGCTGTTGTTTCCAACAATGCATCATATCCAAGGCCTTGAGTGTTCATGTAGTACACCTTGAAGACCGGGCCACCCAAGGAGTTTTCATTCTGATACTTGTTCACAGCACTCTCTACGAACGTTGCCACATGACTAACTTCACTCAGGTCCCGCAAAGGGAACCGACTCTCCTGATATGAGGTCACATTCTTTCGCTGGGTCTCCTTCTGCCGATCAGCCTGATGTGCCTTCATGGCCATCCCAAGGCTCTGAAAGTCTTTCATGGCAGTCATATAGGTGCTGAACTTCTTTTGCTCCTTGGCCAGCTTGGCCAGCTGCATATCCAGCTCAGCCTTTTGGAGCTTCAAAGCAGCCTCGTTCTCACTCACTGAGATGGTGACAGCACCTTGCACACCAAAATCCTGCAAGAAGCGGAAGTCTCCAGCGCAAAGATCTGGAGCCTGGACCCGATACTTTTCATTCAACTCTGTATCCAGGTAGCCTCGCAGGAATTTTGCCTCAAGGGTGTCAACTTGGTCTGCTGTCAGCACTTGCCTCCATCCATTCAGAAAGTGGGAGAACAGGCAAGACATGGCATAAGCACACTCTTCATCCTTGGGATCCCTCAGAGCATTCGCACCAGTATGCAAATTCACTCTCTTCTTGAGGCGCTGGGCATCTGCTATGCGATGCAGGAAATACCTCACCCGGCGGGCCACATAGAAATGTCTCTTGTTGTTGTCAGGTGTCAAGATCTCTGTCCACAGTGGTGAAGCAACACGGGGCTTGAGCCCTCCCCTCAGCAACTCGGTCCCCAGGGTTCGATATGGCAAACCACTGTTCTTGGCACTGTAGTTCGACCAATGGTACTCGATGAGCGATTGTGTTTCCGGATCTAATGTGCAGAAAAGGGCAATGATGTTCATCTCCAGCTCTGAGAGCCTCTTTGTCTCAAGACCACTTCGCTCATTGAACTCGGCCATGATAGTCTTGCATCCTTCTTCCCAACTTGTACCTGAGTCGGCCAAAGTTGCATGGAATGCCCGTGCGATCTGGATGCAGTCTGGACGGGGCCTTGAAGCCTCTGACATCTTCTCTGCAAGAGCAGAGAATCGACATTCCTTCATGGTTTGATGATCTCGAAAGGTGCACCGGATACCATACAAAGCTCTGAGCCATGGTGTGACCAAGATGATTTCTTCATCAGAGAGATTGGAATTGATGGCTGAGTACAGCAGAAGCATCAAGGCCAAACACTTTGTGTAGCCAACGGTCACCTTCAAGGAGAAATCAGGAAGCACCCCTCCTGGCATCAACCCCATGAAGGACACCTGGATTGGGTTTGATATGCTATCGAATGGACGCTCACAAAACTCCTTGTACAAGCGAAGAACGAAGATCATCTTGCTCCGACCCTTCACTGAGCACTCTGGTGAGAAAGGCAAGTGCCAAGGCTGCAAAATCACCTCCCCTGTGTTGCCATCTCCACAATCCGCAGGAACAGTTGTTGCTGCTGCTCTCTGCTCGAAGACCATTGCAGGCACCAAGCGTTCCAATCGCCCCTTCAAATCCTGAAGCATTTGCTTCAATAGAGCAGGCTTGCTGTCGAACATGGACATCAGATGATCACCTCAGTATCCAATGAAATGATGATCCCTATGTTAACGAAGTCTTACTTCTGATGTACTCAACAAATAACTACAACTTTTTTTTGAAAGGTTAAGCCACTGAAGTCCAAGCAATCATCAGCTTCTGGATTGCCACTGCCACCAAACTTTTCTTGCACCCATGCATCAAGCTTGGCCAAGACACGCTTCTGCTCTTGGGAGATCTTTGACATTGTTTGAACTCACTATCTATGATTGCTTACACTGGAACCAAAACCTCGCAGATGTACACTAATAAACTGAGCACACAGAAATGACCAGGGCATAGCACAAGAGAATGATACCTAAAAGACTTCACAGCTCACAGCTCAGCCCTGAAGAAAACAACTTAA